ATTGGCGAATAGGATGTTTAGATGTTAGTGAGCAAGTGGGAACAGTGGGGGATGGAAAGAGAATTGGCAAGAATGAGCTATTTCAACATTAGTATTCTGGGAACATTAGTATCCTAACCACAGGCAACATCTGGAAAGAAACTTGAACATAGAAACATGGAAATCACTGTATAACTGCTTAAAAAAACAGCTGCATACAACAAAGCAGAAGTTACAAGTTTGGCAGCAGTAAATATTTTGGTCTCAGGATATTCCCTCCTTTCTTTAGCAGGAGATGAGGGAACAAATCAGCCTGCTTTGGTATTTTCAGGGGAGCACAATTTCTTTACCTTTGCTAATGGCTTTCAGCAATACAGACAGAACCATTTCTTCATAAATATTTTCCACGCTTATGATGCCACTGCAATCAGCAAACACGTAACTTTCATATTTTGGCAGCTCCTACCAAAGGAAATATGCCAGAGGACAATCAGGCAGCATCAGTAACACATACACCTCAAAGACATATGAGCAGGGCCAGAATTGCTCAGACAGCATCTCAAGTAAGCCAAAATATGTTATTCGCCTAACATTTGCTTCTCTGCTGAAGGCACTCTACAGTACCCGTTGCTTGACAACTGCTAATTCCCCAAATATGATCTTGTATGACACATTATTTGTATTCACAGCTTGTCAGAAGGAAAGATTGCAATCAGCAGCCAGGATGGGAAGAACCGACAGAGATTAGTCAAGACTCCCTAAAAATCAGGCAGAACAAGAAAGGAATGAATGATCAACGCTCTCAAATCCCAGAGACAGAAATATTTTCTCCAAAGCAGAGTGCCCTTCGGTAAGAGCAATCCAGAAAACACCACCAGGACTAGCGACAACAGGAATCAATCCAACCGGCAATCTGGCACAAGGCAGCAGAGGAAAAAGGGGGGAGGGGGAAGCAGAGAACGTTCTGTGAAATAGCTAAACGGCAGTCACATTTATGGTGTGAAACAGAATCGACTTGTATCCGTTTGGAGGAAATTTACTGGATGCCTTGCGTGAGAGGACTGTGGTTCGGTGGGCTGTGATGGCATGGGTTATTTTAAAGCTCTTTTCTTCAGGGTTAAAGCACAGTTCCTAAACACCAGAACACTAGAGAGAAGGAAAAGCTGTACTGAAGGGAAGACAACTCACCCACCCAGTAAAAACCTCTTAGTTTACACTGCTTTCCAGAACCACCAAATGATTTTATTTTTGCTGAGCTAAAATCTGCTTATATGAGCCCTCTTTCCATCTCAGCACAGTCAGAACCCCTTCCAGCCTCTCTCAGATTCACAGCCTTACCAGTTTACACCTGGACTCCAAATGCTTCAGCAGAAAAGGAAGAAAAATTTGAACCAGCCACTCCTGAGCAAACTGCTTCCGGGTGGAACTGCTGTCATAGTCAAATTTCTGCAAGCAGATGACAATGAAATTCAAAGGAGAGTAAGTCCAACCGTCAGGTGCCTTCTCTAACAACCACTGTATCTGTTGCGTTAAAACCGCACGCAGAAGCATGGGAAAATACCTGTAGTAAAGCAACACCACTCAACAGAAAAAGAAAAAGCCCACATGCATCCAACATACACGCATCCAAGCGAGATCAAACACACAGGGAAGGACAAAGAAGGCATCTCATGCCTTTACCTTTAGCACACGATCTTTGACGTTTTCCAGTATTTGGACAACTTGGTTACAGTTAGTTGCCTGGCTGAGGCGTTGCTCCGAAAGCTGCTGGAAGGTATAGATGGAATTCTGCATTAGCTGTAAAAAACAAAAGTCTACTGAGTGGGTACCAGACACGCAGGAACCAGGGTTTCACTCTGCATCTCACTCCAAGTGGGAATGATGGTCCTGGTCAGTCAGCTTTCTTTTACCGAGACAACCTTTTCAAACCTTTGCTTCATGCCTTCTGGGCAGCCCAAGAAGAAAATAAGGAGAGAGAGAGAGCACAAAAAGTGAAAGTAATAGCTAAGATTGGAGCTAACTCACAAGGTCAGCCCTTCTGAGCTTTTTCCCAGCAGGTTTTCTCAGGTTTTTTTTACCACTTACTTGCTGCATGAGGTTCTGAGCTCCGAGGACCAAGCTTGTCATGCTGTGAAAGCCAAACCTCTCAAGTCTCTGCAGGCTTTCTTTATAAACGTCAGCCTTCTCATAACACGGTTGCATGATTTCAGGCATCCAAGATGTTCTCCCAAGTGTTAGAAGCTACATCAGAGCAACAGCGCATTACTTAGGCAGTATACAGTGTCCCTTTTCCTTTTTAATATTTGCTCCCAAACTCATCTGGAACCCCAGCTCTGTACTATTCCCACTTCCTTCCTTTAATCTATTTCTGGTCAGGCCTCAGATTCTCTCATGAATACAGGGCGATAAGACAGTGGCCAGCTACACGCCGCTCAAGGAAAGAGTATAAGAAAGAGAAAAGCGTACTATGACAATTCCCCAGCATACCTTTCCAGTAATATGCAACTTAAGAGACTTTATGCTGAATTAAACCCAACCCTGGGGTCAGTGAGAACCTGCTTGCCAGGGTTCAAAACCTGCAAATTAGCTGTAACATTGTGACAGTGAAAAGTATGATGCCTCAAGAATCAATCCTGCACTGACAACTGCCACAGTAGGTAGAACGTTTGTATTCCTGTGCCTGCAAATTTAACAGCAACGTGGTCTGCAGGGAGCTGGAAAAAAGCAGTCGCCTTTGTCATATCATCCATGTATTTTACCTCTTTTTGTAAGACTGCGATAGGAGAGTTCCGTACAGTTCGGACCATCTCATCAACTCTCTCAGCAAAGAGCGAGCGTACCATCTCTGCTCCTGAGCTGATCGGACGCATGAGTTCCTCCATCACAAAGTCCAGGTCAGGCTCCACTCTCTGGCAACAGCATGATTCTGCCGCGCTTTGCACCATGGCTGTCAAAATTGAAAGCTATGGGTTGTCTGATAGACTGTGCTGGGCTCCACATTGCCCTGGATCCACTAGGCACAAATCCAAGAGAACAGGGGCTCGGACTGTGTAGAAACCACCATCCGATAACTTCTGCCCACAGTCAACGGTTTATTACTTACAACTTCATAGTATCTGTTAGTCTGTTATCGGTGTACCCAAAACAGTGATATCTAAGCCGAAAGCTCACAAATTAAAGGGCTGCAACTATGGGCAAGAGCCTTGAAGTTCCGCATATTAAAAAATCATTGGAATTTTCAGTATAAATATGGATTTTCAACTGAAACAAATCATTAAGCAACAGTAAAACAAGCAGAATTGTTTAGAAGAGCATTTCATTATGAATTAATTCCTACTCCAGCCTTGCTGTTGGCAGATGATTCTGCAGGCTACTCTCACCTGCCAGAAAATTGCAAAGTAAAGATTGTATCAACTGAATATAAACTACATACACTAAGAATAGCTTTGCTGGGTCAGGCCAAAGTGGTGACCCAATGTCCTGTTTTCAACAACCATCAACAGCAGAGGCCTAAGATGCAAAAGGAGTTCCTGGGCTAGAACAAGGTTCCATGTTTAATAGCCCTCTAAAAAATTTAATGGATTTGTCCAATTGCTTTTTGAACTGGCAAATTTTTTGCCTTTTCTCCCAGCCTTTTGCCCCGTTTGTCCAACCTTGGAGTTTTCTGGCTATCTGATCCTTTAAAGTCAGCATCTGATCCAGGTCTGGGCGAATTTTCTTCTCCAACTGAATTTGTAGTTTTTCTTGGTCCCTCTGAAAAACTTTGAATTCACTGGAGACTTGACTGAGGATCAGTGTGTAAGCCTCCTGCAGAAACTGGGTGGCCATTAAAGAGCAGGGGAACCAGAGAGAGAGAGAGAGAGAGAGAGAGAGAGAGAGAGAGAAAGAATTAAGGAAAGGAAAGAAGCATCATACAGGCCTTAGGCAAGTTTTGGAAACATTACTGTCTATTCTAACAGAAGCAAATTCCTTGTTAGGTTACTAGGCTCACCAGCAAACAAAAGACCGTCTTCTGCGTCAGGCTTCTAAGATTCTTTTCAACTCATCCAGCATCATCTCACCCAGCCCAAATATCAAGTCATTCATTGTTCCTCACCTCCCTTATAATCATTCCCTCATTGCCCATACGCAGCAAACCAGAACTAAACATACCCTTCACACAGTGTAATGCTTTCTCTCTATCTTTGCACAACGTACATTAAAGACAGCAGTTTCACAGGAGACAGAAAAGGCAGAGAAGCCTTAGAATGGGCATCGTTTGTTGAATTGTTCTTTATTTTAAAAGTTTATACATGAAGCTCACGTTTATAGCTCCCCCGTCCTCTCCAACTGTAGAGCTTTAAATAAAATAGTCCTACCAGTAGTTTCCACACTGCTTTCAACTCAGAACTCATCTTTCCTTTAAGCAGATGAGTAACTTTGCGACCAACAAACCACTCTGTTTCTAAGGAAAACTCTGTTTCACTGTTATACAACCTAGTACTTAAGAGCTACGAGTAATGCTGCATTTGTGCAGCTTGTATCAGGCAGAAGGTATCCCAAAATTGGATCTAGCTCTCCCAACAGCAGAGGTTCTATCACCATATGCTAAAGAAAGGGAAAAAAAAGAAAAAAAACCCAAGATGGGGACCAGCACTGACTTTCAAATGCAAATAGCGACTTGTGCGTTTACCTGGAGCCACAGCTGCTTTCTCCGAGTTTCTGACCCTCTGATATTTGGGAGCACTTGAGACCGCAGCACTGGCAGCAAATCTTCCATTAGCACATTACCAAGAATCTAAACACCCCCCCGCCCCCCAAAAAAAAACTATTTAAACCAAGTTCCAGGCAACAAACTTGCATTAAATACTCTGGTATTGGAACATTCAACACTTTACAAACCTCAGCTTCCACTCCCAGGAGGAGATCCCCTGCCCTGTAGCTACCTCTCTCTTGTCTGTAAAATCGTACAGCCTCCAGAAAGGCCTCAGCTTCAAAAGAATCTCTCCTCTGTAATTCTGAAGACAAAAGATGAGTTAGTCCCAGTTACGTTTAATTAAGATTACTTAGAAAAACCTACTTGCTTTTAATCATATTCAAATGACGCGTTCGTAAATACAACACAAAGACTACAAAACGCCAGGATGACAAATGCTGTAGGAAATCTACTGCATAGAGGAAATTACGCTAATGGTGGAAAAGAAGAGGGGAAGATATTCTAAACACTTCAGTGAATCCAAATGCAGTAGCCTAACACTGAGTCTCAGTATTTCCTAAAGGAGTGCCAGCCAAATCATGTGAAGTTGCAGGAATTTAGCAACTACAAAATTATTCCAGAGGAAAAAGGACTGCAGGAAATTTTCTCACTGTCTAGCCATAGGAATCAGAAATCCAAGAATTTATAGAGATCTCATTTACAGCTGGCCCCTCCATGAAAAGATCCTTATGGTAGAGGGCTCATGCTCACAGCTTTCATGGATGATACTGCTTCCTTAGATGGACTACGTAAAGGCAGAAACCTACCAGATTCCAAAGCATTACCTGTACTGTGATACCGAATCCCATCTTGAAGAGCAGATTTCCAGATCCTCTGGGATTCTGCAGAGTTTGTGCAAAAACAAAAGTGCCTCCGGAATGGATGGTAGAGGAAAAACAAAAACTCTCCTGGAGGATCAGCTAAGGCATTACAGCCCTGCTGGGAAGAGCCACCTTGGGGCGGAAGGAAAGAAGAGAAAGCCCAGTGTATGCCATCACAGGTACAATTTGAAATTAATGTTTCTATAAACTCCAGGCAATTTCACAGCAACTACTGGTAGGTCTGTTATCTCTCATTGAGAGCTATCATTATAATGACAAAATAAAACGCCACCTTTCCAGAGTGATCCAAGGCCTGCTGTGTATCAGTAGCTTATTAGAAAATGAGGGAGCAAGCTGGGTAGTGATCAGCACCAGCCAGACAGCAGTCTTTAATCTGTGGCAGGGGAAATGTCGTCAAATCGATGATGTCAAATTGGGAGTTTGCACAGTCATTCCTAAGGTGGGTCAACTTTTTTTTAGTATTATTAGAAACAAAAAACACAAATTTTGACATAGTTTTATGAACAGTAAGGACCACTTGTAGACTACTCTTACAAATACTTTGTTCTGAATGCAATTGGTAAAGTCTCACTTCCTTTTTAAGCAACGTCTTCAGCATACTAGAAAGATGCTAGTTCCATTAGCAATTTTTAACTGCTGTCTGTAATTTAAAAAGCCATCAGTAATTTGCATATCACAGCCAGATATAATTTTTACAGTATGCAGTTATCCTATAAAAGTGAGACTGAAAAACTGAACAGAGAAACCATTTCAAATGAATCTTGCTCACTGGCAAAAATGTCTCTGCATCTGCTTCTAATTTCAGGCCGCTTCATTTTAAACTGTTAGTTTTTCAGTTAGCTAAGTGAAATCTTGCAATCTGCCAGAAGCTCTAAACACAGCTGTCATGTTCCAGAGGAAAGAGACCCAAGAGGATAAGGAAAAACAAAGAAAAAAACACATATTTAGCTGCATGAGATCTTGAAAGCACAACGTCTGTGGGACGTCAATATAACGTTCAGTTTAGCCTCTGAATGCTGTAGCTCTGTCTGTACGTAATGAAGACTCCTCTGTGTCAGACCATTACTTTCTCTTGTGGCAAGGACTGCAAGATCTCATCACTTGACACAAAGCTTGCCTGGCGTTATTGCTACTGTTGCCAATGTGCCACTCAAGTCATTGGTTTTTTGTAATGCTTTGAGAGGTGCCCAACTGGATTCCGCTCATATCTAGGCCGATATAGATTTCTTAAGATCGACACATCATAGAATTACCTGCAAACCCTTGGCACAGACTGCTGACCAGTTTGGTGTATTCACTTTGCGAAGTCAACAACAGGTAGCCAGACAAAGCAGTTGAGCCTCTAGGCTCACAGCCTTTCCCCAGGGCCTGGGAAAGAAATCAAATGGAGTGTTCTCAGTGCAGGTTTACAGGTAGAATTCTTTATATAGATTTCAGTTCTGCACTTTAGAGCAGCTGACAACAGCGAGAGGTTTTGTTTCTCATGACTTCACTTACAAGGCCACCAGCTGTAGAACGCAGTAGCTCATTAACACAGCCGAGTAACAACAATTAGAGTAGGTAGTGAGGGAACATAAGGCAACACAGTAAACTAGGATGAATTTTAAGGAGAAAGAACACATTTGCCCTTGCAAGGAGAACCTGCTTTCAGCAATCCAGGTGTGAAGTGGTAGGCTTTTACATGACACCAGCTACATCCTAGTAGCTGTATTTGCACAGTCTTCTTCTGTCGTGGCTGCAGGGGATGCCTAGGAATGTTTGCCAGCAGTATGACCACATAAAACCCTTGATTTTACAACCTCTACAGTTGTAGCAGAAGGAGCATATTTACCTCTTTGCTTTCAAACCATTCCAGGGTTAAATCTCCAAGAATAACAAAGTAATTCTCTTTCCACCTTTGGGAATCTTCATCATACTGAGAGAGCAATCCATCACATAAAGTAGCACGAGGTGCTCTCTGGGTCTGAGAATGCACAAGAGAGAATAGTGAGCAAACCTCAGAAGTGCAAAGTGTCAGCTCTGGAAGAGAGAAAGATCATGTTATGCTGTGTGCAGTACAGAGAGCGGGAGCCTGGCCCAACCAAGGCTTTTGCTATTAGCAAAGAATAAATAATAGCGAGACGCAATTGAACAAGGACACCTAGTGGTCACAAAAAGCAAGCAAAGCACCTAAATCAATCGCGTGCAACACTCTTTGGTAATCTGCAGCAATTCTGCAGCGATTTTGACGCTAACCTGTGAGTTATATCCTTCGCTATCGATCCTACCTACTCATCTAAAATATTAACACTATACTTAGCGTAGAATGAGTGGTATTACAAATATGCCACACTAAAAGCTGACAGCTTTTTAATGATAATGGGATAACAAGAATCAGAACATAGAAGTGGCAATTCTTATTCCCAGGCACTGGTCAAAGAAACATGCAAGTTTCCTAACTTGAACAAAAAAACCCACCTGCACATTCAATAAACACAAGAACCCCTTTTTCACCTAAAGATGACAGAGAGAATGGGAAAAAAGGTACAAAGAGTTGTGAGAGACTAGGGGAAAAACAAGCAGCTTGAGTGACTCAGAGGATAAGAGAATACCTCTTAGTTCCCTAACAGCCCTTTCTATATTTATCTTGATCCTTAAGGAGTTAGTGCAGTTGGGAAGATACGCACGTAGGTGGAGGAGACACTAGTCTTCTAATTCTACAAAGGAGTGAGTCCCTCAAAACTGAGCTGGCCTATCTTTAAGGAGGCATGAAATGCATAAATGGCCACTTGGCAACACAAGCATACTGTCTGTGGTCACAGCTGTCTTAAAATATGTTCCTAAATATCTATTTTTAGGCCACAAAATATAAACTATCCCTTAGTAACGGGTCAGTGATCTGCATAATGGTAATCAATTACATAACGAAGCTGCAAAGAGACAGGGAAGAGCAGTCAGTCTTCACATTCATAAGAGAATGTGCATCCCCAAGATCAACCTCAGGAGGAAAGCGTTTCTGGAGGACACGACATCAGGTGTGAAGGCTTATCACTTACCTTGCTCTGTAGTAGCTGCAGGGCAAGTTTGCCTTGCAGGTCCAGTTCCCCTGAGACCTGTCGCAGAAAGGCGGTTGCAAGCTGCCTCTCGTAATAGGGTAAAAAGTTCTTCATCATGGCAGCTGTGCAACCTGGGATAGAACAAGAACAGAGACAGTTTCACTTGGTAGTCTCCTCACAGAGGAGGCAGCCTCCTGTTTCTAATTAGCATTTTTCTCTCATCTAAAAACAGCTTTGGAATTAGAAGTGCAATTCCCAAGAAACAAGGCTGCTAATTAAGCTCCAGGCACCCAAACTGCTCCAGAGGTTGCAAACATGGTAGCCTGATGCAGGGCGCTGCTGTAAGGCTATGGGTAGGCTCTGCAGCAATTGTTACAAACTCGCAATGACCCTCGAGATCCAGGCACTCTCCTCACTGCGCTGCTATGTGTTTGTAGCCGCTGAATAACGCCACTTGCCCAGAGAGACCTTTGCTACAGGCCCTTTGCATTGCAAACGTCCAACCCAGCCCAGGGAGTTTAGTGGATGTGCACCTCTGCTCTTGACTATCTCAAGCAATTATCAATTGCCTTAAATTGCATCAACTGTAATATAGTTTAGTGCCACTTTACAGTAGAGGAAACTGAACACAGGGGCATGAAGCAACCTTTTTGTATCTCGAAAGGTCCAGAAAGGCCAAGTTCCTTATTTCTCGCACTCGTCCCTGGACCCTAAACTGCTGGTGCTTTATCATCTTGGGAATCCAGTCAGTATAGCATGTGAAGATGTCTAGTGAAAAAAGGACCTGAAATGTCAGAGGGTCTGATGCTATTCAAAAATAAAAGACTTCTATATGCCACTGCTTCTCCAAAGATTTTCTCCACCCGTTGAAAAGACGAAAACAAGGGAGCAAATTCACTGATAACCGAGTTGTTGAAATGTCACACTTAAAACTGCTGTAAGCTTAAAAGAATCTGACAATAAAGCTATAGTTTGAAGCTGTGGAGGCTTCCAACAGCACATTGTCTACCCTACTACCATAGGGATCGCAAAGAAGCAGAGAAATATGTTGCTCAAGAAACAGTAGGAGGCAGGAAGGGGAGGAAGCTGATGGTCTAAAAATAAGGCACTTCCTAATTCACATACAGAGAACCATTCAAAAAGGAAGGTACCAGAGAAGAGGGCTTTGAGGTCACGCACACACAGAGTCTTTTTTTGTCCAATTAACACCTTAAAAGTCAACACCTAAATTAGATTTCACGTCTCACAAAGCCCAAATTTGAGCTCGGCAAGCACTAAGCCAATGCTGGCAGCCTTCCGCTGTTGAGAAGTACTTACGCTAAGCACCAGCAGAACTCACCAGACAACAGAGAAGGGATTCAGAAACAGCTACTTCTTTTGGAGACTTGTGGAGTTCACTGGTACTCTTGTGGTGGTAAAAATCACATTTTTGGGAAGAAGGATTTCCCTTTACTAATGTCTCCGAGTTTGTTTATCCCTGCGTCAAAGACGATGCTTCAACAGTAGCAATCTCACTTAAGTTTAGAGGGACCAGTTCACAAGTAATCACTGTTAAAGTGACTCATTCACTACAGCATTGAGTACAATCTGAAAGGGCAGTCACATCTGACATTTTACTGGGACCGCTGTATGCTCATCGATGAGCACTTTGAATGTACAATCCCCGTGCTTAAGTTGATGCACAGAACACTCCTAGTAATATATATACAGACTAATTACATTTGGTGCTCAGGAGGACGGTCAGACTGTTATGGAACAAACAGAACTCCTATCCTGCCTCTTTCAAATGCTTTTCCCCAGTTGTTTAAGCTTGAAAAGGTTTAAAAGCTCGTTCCATACCACATATGTAACCCAAATTCTCTATACCCTGCGTGGGGATTCAGTTGGTGATGATCACTGTTGCATGCAATGAGCAAAACACTGAATGGTTAATATCAGAAGAATCCTGAAAGTTGCTGAACAATGAATTTGCACTACATGTCTTGACTGTTGCAGTTATTCAGACCTTCCTCGACACTGTCCAAAGAAACAAAAGCAGCAAGAAAAATCTGAGTGGTTTTATGCCAAAAACAAAGATGGCACAAATCATCTAAAAGCATCAGTCAACCCAAGCACATACAAAATACCCAGTTCAGAATTTATGAAAGTTCAAGGATTGCAGAGCTGACACTGAAAAGGATGAGAACTTCTTGACAAATGATCTTCAGCTGGGCAGCTTTCTTTGAACTATCTACAGAGTATGGCTGGAGTCCGGCTTGCAGGGACAATTTGCTATTAGTAAGGGATTCAGTGAGAAGAATGCATCTCATACATTAGCAGTAGGGGAGATATCCAGATCAGGCCTGGATCAAGCAGATAAGTAGATGAGAAGGGCTGGGTATAAACCAATGCTGTGAGGAGAGAAAGAGTCCTGTAAAACAACCAACCTGAGCACCAGTTACTCTCAGTGCACGCAGGAAGCAGTTAAAGGAGCCGAATGTATCCTCTTGTATTTTATACAGGACCTTCTGCCATCTCTACTAATACACTACATTTAATTTACTATTTAAAGATGAAACAACTATTATGCAATACCTTGGTTCTCTAAACTGATTGCCAGTCGATTTGATCTTGCCCTGTCTTTACAGCAAGGTCTAATAGTTTTGTCCTGTGAATGTTTTCTGAGGAGAGTTTTGTGGCAGTCTTCCCTCACCCAATACAGACAGTAATACATAAACGTAAGTACGTGGGATTATGAGGCTATACCAAATTAATTATAAACAATTGTAAACAGGAACTTTTTCTTCAAAAGGCAATGGAGATGATAAAAGGCATTTCTTACCTCTCAGATACCTGCGCTGCTTCCTACCTAGTGGGCTTGAGTATCTTCCTCCCATCTTCTGCTTCAGCGTGCTCACTACCTACCAAACTTCAAGGTCAGGGTCTAAGGAAGAGAAAGGACATACCACACACTGATTCTTTAAGTTCTTAAAGCAGCAGGGATTGTCCTTTTCTGTCATACTCTCCTCTAGCTCGTCAGCTCATAAATATTCAAATATTTTCTTTCCTATCAGCCCCTTGTCTACACCCCTACTCACAAAATAAGCCTTAAAGAGGCAGCAGCACCATACTCCCTCTGCCCACATACTCCCTGTTCTCACAGACCTTACCCCTAAGCCTCTGGGGTTAAACTTGATTTCTGCTTTATTTTCAAGCCTGCGGAGTCAGTGTCAATTCATACCCAACATCACCCTAGCTATGCTCTCATTGTGGGATGCTCACAGCGAACTGGATACAATGGAACTGTAAAGCAAATAATGAACACATCATATTTCCTTACTGAACTGCAAGTGCAATTTCCATCTTAGAAATACTGCTGCTTACTGTTAGTTAAAGGCAAAGCAAAAACTCAGCTATTCAAGATAAGCCTGTTTGCACTGGAATTTAAGTTTAGGATGCTAAAGCAGTACAGCCTGTAAATTTACATGATGCACCACCAGATTTATCCAGATACTCTTGATATTCCTTCACACTTTACCCATTTCCTCCCTCTGTCAGTTACCACTGTACAAGACACCCCACAACAAACTTAAGGGGGGGCCTCCACTTGTGCTAGGGGATAATGCATTTGGGAGCGAGGCAGAAGTGACCAAGTGGGATACAAAAAGGGGATTTTTCTGAGTTATTTCTAAATTTGAAAGCATGTCATGGAAACAACACTTTTCATTGCTTTACTCTGCACCTGCTCTCAGTTCTCAGTTCCCTAATTAAGCTGAACTAAATTATCTTACACTTTTACTGTTAGGCAGCTGACAATCTTTGATACCCTTCACACCCCACAGAACAGGTAGAAACAGGAAACCCCGAGCAGAAACGTTTAGCACGCGCATCAGTCCTTGGACTGGTCAAAAAGCCAAAGTACTTCAAATATAGGGAAATCAACAGGGGAGACTTTAGGGGGGGAAAAATAGAAAACTAAATGGAAAAAGAGTTCAGAATCATTAGAGGGATAATACTGTGCTACACAACAGAGAGAAGCAGCTTTCTACAAACATGGCACTTGGAGGCAGGATGAACCAGCTGTGTCTCTTGGCTATTTGAAAATTTAGCACCACACATTTTCGGATTCACAGTTGCACAACTGTCTTATTAAAACTTTCATAGTATGTCAAGTATGAGAATCAGGACACATGTAATTTGAGATGCAAGGTGAAATTTGTATTAACAAGATTCTGAGTTTGATAGTCTTGTCTGTACTTATCTGCTTTATTAGTTTATTTCATATTTTAAGATGCAGAGCTCAACAATCGGGCAGACACAAACATGATTTTAGTTGTGTTTGTATTTCTTTAACCCACAAATCCTTTCACTCCCACCAATTTCTATAATTCTTTCACCACTTCACTAGTGAAATTGGACATTACTTCTTTTCTGTGAAGGACTGGCAATGAGAACAAGGGGTAGTGGAATAAAACATAAAAAGGGATAGGGGCTCCAAAAACGGCAGCGCACCCAATCTTGTCAAGAGCCGTGAAAATCAAAAAGGAATTAAGACAATTCAGACTGCTCTAGACGCTGAACTCAAATGTTGGAAAAGAGTGAACAACTATAAGAAAGGAGGTTGACGTGACAACTGGTTACGAAGTCACAGGAGTCTCATCAGAAATGAGTTTCGTGGAGGAGACAGGGCTCTTAGTAAAGAGACATAGAGACTTCCCCAAATGCTGGAGAAGAAATGTTTAACTTGGTCTATGAACAGCAGAAAAATGAAAGTAGCAGTAAAAGTAGGTGGGTGGGGAGGAGAAAACTGGTGCACGTCAAACACTGACACACTGCACACAAAATTCCTCCGTGAGTCCTTTCCCTCTATGCACGGTGGGAGGGAAGGGAAGGAGGAGAAATCAGAGTACAGATGCATTTTTCTGCCTGCACTTCATTTAGCAAGCTTGCTTCCTCCTCCAGCACCAAGACCACATGTGCCCTCAGAGACAAACAGCAGCAAGAATCACATATGCAAAGGTGTTTTACCAGCCTGTGGAATCTGAACTCCTGGGTTTCCTTCCCAGGTCTGGCACAGAAATGCTGCATTTCCTAGGAGATAAGTCCTTTCTGACTCAGCTTCTTCATCTGTACAGCCTGGAATACTTTTCAGCTATGCACTAACAGATTGCTGGACTCCACGCAAACTCAAAACGTTCTGAAACCAACAGCTGAAGGCATAACAAAGGAGGACTGAAAGCCTCTGAGCCAAAAACTTACCTCAGTCCTTTTGTAGGCTATTCTTCTTGGACTGGTTATGCACCTAGGAGCGCAACGCTAGAATTTATCAGAGCTTCAGGATGCCATCCAAAAAGCAGCAGATTCTCTCCCTCTTCACGCATTCAAAATACACGTATGAGTTTCTTCAGTGGTAATCTCTCGACAGTCTTGATTCGTGAAGAGTATAACCAAAGATCTCTAACAAACTAATGAACAGATCCTCTAAATACCTACAAAAAACAGGACAGGAGGAGCCACTGACCCTATGTTTCACACATGAACTAAGGACAGCTAAAGTCGGGATTATAACGAAAACAAATAACCTGAGCGCCGCCCAACAAAACCAGCAAGGGAAACAAAAGATTGCCCTAAAGCCAGAGAGTTCAGAGTTGTTCCAAGTCGTGCCACCCTGACATCTGCATGACAGCAAGATGACAGACAGAGAGACGACAGACAGCAAGAGTCCAGGATATCCAAAATCCCACACCTGCTCCTTCAATTCTTGGTTGCTATTCACACAACAATGTGATCAGGTGAAAAAGTAAGCAAGAGCAGAATAGCTTAAATTTGTATCTTTAATATTGTGCATTCACTTGACATCACAGCGACCGTTCACAACACAGACTGCATTATACCATCATCTTGTGCAATTCCAAGCGTTTCCATTTGCAACTAGAAACCAGATGCATATGTCCCATACCAAGCCAAAGAGATGATTACACAGTGCTCCACAAAGTACCACTTGTTCCCGAAAAAGAAAAAAAGTTAGTTTTGTGCCACCCCCAAGTATTACAACCAAACGTAGAGTCCTTGATCTGGAATGTTACACAGCTGGTTCTGCACAGGTACTGCGTTTACTGCTACCAGATTCCTCCTAGGAAATCTAGTTGGACATTTGGTTCTACAAGATTGAATGTTTCTCAAAGGGAACAGTCAGTTCCTTGGCTGCAGACTCATCCAGGAACCAGTGCAGCTTCCCAGTATGAGGTTGAACAAGAGCAGCGGGAAGGGGCTTTTCCTCATCACCTTCCAAAATGCGCTGTTCAAAGAAACAGAACAGTGTTTCAGCAGACCGGTCAGTGAAAGAGAATCGCAAACCAACAACACGAACCGTAAACCATTCACCACATCTTAAAAAAAACCTTCAGAGTTTGACTAAAACACTACCATTTTTTTACTCCTATCCCTGTACAAAGCAGACCTTTGATTAAATGGCAGGTGTAACTATCCGGCCTGGCTCCCCAGACAAGTCAGTAAACCAGTCTTCCCCCAAAATATCTGTTGACAATCTGGATTTTCATTAAAAAGATTAATCATTTGTTTTCAAACCATACCTTTAAAATAGCAGCTTTACCTTCCCCTGTAGCGACGAACACAACAGTCCGTGCTGCATTAAGCACAGGTAGAGTTAATGTTATCCGCTCTGGCGGTGGCTTTGGAGAATCAGTGATAGCAGCAACAATTTTCTCTTTCTCCTATCAGAGCAAAAGTAGTGTAAAATAAAATAGAATAAAGCAAGAGAACCACTCAAGGCAGGTACAATATATTCCAAAGAGGGGAGTAAGTTGCATGGCAGCAGATTCCTAGAACTTTTCATATCTCCGCCTAAATCAAGATCTCCTTTGTTCACTCCAAGGAGTCCAAGATGAGACTACTAGTCTTATGAACACAATTTGTGAGCTACTCAGCAAAAGACCAGAGCCAGAGCAGCCATAGGCCCACTCCTCGGAGCCAAACCCTAGCGGAGAGACAACAATGTTCTGTCGGAGTCAGAGCACAACCACACGCGTACCAAAAACGGGGTAGGAGGAGCCACTGACCCTACGTTTCACACGTCAACTAAGGACAGTTAAAGTCCGAATTGAAAGGAAAACAAATAACCTGAGAGCAGTCCAGTAAGCACAACTCTTATTTTGTTAGGCCGAATCCCCTCCTGGTTCTACGAGCTTACCTGTAGAAGGGGATGATCTGGAAAAAGGGAGCAAGTGTGACCATCTGGCCCCACTCCTAAAATCAGTAAATCAAAGACAGGGGGGTTCTCACCCTGAAAAGCCTATAAGAAAGAATAAAAAATTAAACAGAAAATAAAAACCCTAGTCGCTCAGATAGGTGGCAAACGGCAAGGGAGCAAGTTCTACGGGGAAGCAAACTGCAGAAGCGCAGGACGCTGCTGCTGCCCCGCGGCGATGAGCTCCTAGTCACGCCGCCAAGCTGCCCGGTGCCCCCGGCGTGTGAACACCCGACGGGGGGCAGAAGGGCCGGCAGCCTCGCGCCCCTTGGCCAGGACGGCGCCCGCTAAGCTAAACGCGAACCACGGGTTTAAGGGCACGGACAAAGCGACGCGCAACCGGCTCCCGCTCAGCGCCGGCGCCTCCCGGGGCCGCTCGCCCCAGCAGCCCAGAGAGAAGCCC